TCCTGTATTGCACATGGCTTTGGGATGCATTAAGCAACCCTGTGATTCTTTGCTTCCCCATGTGAGGGTAATCATAGACTCCAAACAAAGTAGGTGGCAACCAGTGGTGAGCGCACTCTGTTGTGGTCAGAATGCCAGCAGAAACTCCACTTGCTGCAGTGCATAGGAGGGGGCAGGGGGGGAACTGCTTCCCTGAGGGATGGCTGACTGTGGGATCTGGGGGCTTTGAACCTTTATGTTCCCTTATTGCCACCTGGGCAGCATGCAGAGAGAATGGGATGGAAAAAGGGCACGGCTGAGACCTGCTTAGTCGCTACAAAATAGGAGCAGCTGAATTCCACCACCCCCCTGCAGTTCCACGTGTTCCGACTAACCTTTGGAATGCAGGAGAGGAAAGGTTTGACTTCAATGTTGGTGTCGATGACTTTGAGCTGATGATCCCCTAAACCTCGAGAGACAGACAGAGTCCCCAGCAAACGAGCCTGGTCCCAAACAAAACAAATGTAAGAACACAGTTCCCTTAAAGGCAGCTGCATGACTTGCCCTTTAGGAGCATCATCCACACATCACCCACAGCCACCCCAGGAGGCATGAGAGATGGAGAAGTGATTACAAGCGATGGCCTGACAGGAGCATGGATATGGAAAGCCAGCACAAGGGTGAGGTAGGAGAACATGGGACATGGTAGAGGCTCATGCTGAAGGACAAAGGTGGGTTCTGTAGTGAGCAGCATGTCCTGCAGACCTCAGGAAGCCCTCTTGTTGTCATCTCATGGTGTGAGATGACAAGGAAGAAAATTGAACTGACTTGAAAAAAATGGTCCTTTGTCTTTGCAAAGGGGTGCCACGTGGGCTGTGGCACTGGTAGTGGCAGGGCTCTTCCTGCTCCACCCCTGTGTCCATACATTGGATGTGTGCAGTCAGTAACCCGTCAAGTGGCTGGGATGCTCTCGGCCTCCCCATCAGCCTGCTCTGCCCTCCCAGGGCATAAAGCATCAAGCTACCTGCTTCCCGTGACCGTGGACAAGAGGATACTTGAGGTCAGCTTTCTCCACCAGCTTGTATCCCCTAGAACAGAGCATTCAGTGTTGATTTGGTGTCTGACTTGATGGTACAACTCAGTCTGAGCATTTCAACTGTGATTCAAGACTCGCGGTGTCCCCGTGCACAGGGAGTGACTGAGGAAGGCTCAAGGTGACTTGCTGAAGCAGTAGCATTAAGAATGACCCCTTGTTGAATGCCAGGGTGTTTCTCCTTCCCCATTTCCTTCCAGTTGTACTGAGGCTCCCCACCTCAGCCTGCAGAGCCCAGCACCATCTCCCACTGCTGTTCCCTACAAAGGTCCTGTTCTTCAGGCAGAGCAGAACTACTGCTGGCCTGCTGCTCACAGCATCCTTTACTACGATAACAGCTCTGCATTCAGACAGCCCCTCGAGCATTCCATTGCCCCTAGCAGGTAAAGCTGCCCCGTGCCATGTCCCTGCCCCCACACACAGAGAACCCACCAGCCCTCCATGAAGTAATCCCTGTACAGGACTTTCTGGCCCACGTCATCTCCCTTCAGTCTCCGTGGAAACTCGAAGCGCGTGAACTCTCCATCCAGGAGTTTGGGGAAGAGAAAAGCCTGAAGGAGGGAACAAAGGCATAGGATGGACAGGCTTTGCTTCTGCAGGGGTGAGCAGCAAGGCTGTGCTCTGCTCGCATGCTGGGACTTGCACTCCCAGCTGCAAAGTGGGAGCAACAGTGGGAAAACACATCCCAAGGGCCAAGCTGGGTGTGAGCATCTCCGACACTTAAGTGCTGTTAGCTGAATCCTGCTCACAGCCCCCGTGGCTGCTGACACTTTGGCTCCTGCCACAAGCCCTCCCTGACCCAGGTTGATGATCTGAGGGTGAGAGGAGTCACTCACCAAGTGCTGGAGTCGCTGCCTCTCTGTCTCGGGTGTGAACTCAGAGCTCATGGGCACAATGGTGTCCTTCAGAACAAGAATGGCCCTATGAGAAAAAGAGGCAAAGAGCTGAGCTGCATCCTGCCCCATCCCCATTAAGGCTGCCCCGTCTCTGCTGACCTGTTACTGGGGCTACCTCAGGGTCAGCCAGCTGAGAGAGCTCTGTGGCAGAGCAGTGCCAGAGAAGAGCCACACATCCAGGAAGGTTTAAAAATGCTGGCGTGTTTTAACACTGCAGTTGTGTTATTGCAGCAGAGAACTGAGCCTGCCTGGTTTAACAATGGCAGAACTCCCTGCTGGAGGAGTGGTGGCCAAAGACACATGAGGAAGCTGTTTAACATGCTTTGAAATCAAATCCCACTTTTGAACCCCTGCCAGGATCAGCTTACTGCTGCACTGCCCTGTGGCTGGGCAGCATTAGTGCTTGGAAATCTGAAAGCCCTTCTAGAAAGCACGAGAGCACCCACCCACCCATTCAATAGGTCCCAGCTCCACAGTGTGCTGCACGCTTAACTTTTCTAGAATTACATAAGGTGCTGGAAACCTTATGGTAAGGCATTGGAACAAGCTGCACAAGGAAGTGGTGCAGCCACCATCCTTGGAGGTGTTCAAGAACCGTAGATATGTGGACATGGCTCAGCTGGCACAGTGGTGATGGGTAGACAGTTGGACCTGATGATTCTCGTGGTCTTCTCCAGTCTTAATGATTCTATGAAACCTCTGCTAATTCCAGCTCTTGTTCCCAAGCAACCTCTTCCTTTCCTTGCACTCACCTGCTGTCCCCAGCGTTTGCCACATACAGCTTTCCCTGGAAATAAAGGGCAGCCAGAGCAGTGCAGCCTCCTGTCTGGTTGGTGGCTTCCATCTCCTGGCCAATCACTTCATCCTGTGGGTTTAAACAAGTTTGAAGAGCGATGTTAACCAGGGTGCTGCTTTCTGCAGCTGCCCCCTGGCTCCTAGCAGAAATCTGGAGCTAAAACTGCTTTGAGGCAGTCAGCAGAAAATCAGCAAGATGAAAGTCAGCATTGCTTCAGTGCAGCCAACAGAGTTATCACTGCTGGACTGAGTGCTAAGGACAGGCTGATAGCAGAGACCTCAAACTTGCATATGGTCTATGAGTCTAACAATAGCCATGGTCTAGCCCTGAAGGAATGTATTCCCTGGGAGCAGAGATGCTGCAGCTTTGCTCAGTGTCAGCATTACAATGCAGTGCAATGGCCCTGAGGCAGACCTCAGGCAGCTGACTGACCCAGCATGATGTCAGCTGGCCTTAAGGGTGCACTCTGGCTGCTCGAGGAGCTGTAGGCTGTGGCATTTGGCAGCCACAGCCTAGCCCAATGCACAGCATCCCTTGCCCATGTGGCAAACCCAAGCAGCTGGGCAATCAGTGCCTGACCAGTTCCTGATGAGAGAGCTCAGAGCAAAGGAACCCTTGCTGCAGGGACAAAGAACTCACACATTCCTGGAAGGCATTCTCTAGGGCTCCCACCACCACATCTTCTATGTGGATGTGCTTCTCCTCCACGAACTGGGGGTCACTGTCACAAACACAGCGCCCGCTCAAGTGCATGGGGGGACAGGGCTCCACGATGGCCCCCGCAACCTCCTCCAGCTTCTGCTTGATGCAGTAGTGCAGGTAGTTGGAGGCAATGATGGCAGCTTCTGGGCCACCGTGGCCATCGAAGAGTGCCCAGTAGTAACCAGTCAAAAACTGCAAGGGAGAAGAAAGATCAAGCAGTGAAAAGAGGCAGAGAGGGGCCATGCAGACAGCAGCTCGCACTCAGGATGTGCTGAACGTGTTCTGCCTGGCTTTTCCAGCCAAGCTGATGGAGCAACACCTTGGGGGCACCTGGGGGAACTCAGAACGGGGCCGTACCTGCGTGGAGCACAGGATCAGCCACTCCTGGTCCTCCTCCAGGCCTGGCTCCTTCCTGCGCACGGAGATCTGGCAGCACGTTGCCTGGTCCTCGTTGAACTCTGACTTCTCAGCATTGATAACCCTGCAGGTGCAAACACTCCAGCTGAGGGGCGAAGCACTGCCCAGCCAACATGGGAGTGAGCCCCCAGCCTTCCTTCCAGCCCCGTGCTCGCTTGCTCCCTTCTCAAAGTCAAGGATCTCTTGGCTGGGAATCTAAACATCAAATCGAGCAGGAAAAAGTTTCACCTGGGATACAGTGAGTTATGGGGAAAGAGCTGTCATGGGGCACCCCTATCTCCACCAGTCCCTGCTGGCAGCCAAGGCAGCTGTGCCAGGCTGGTGACAGGGCTCCTTCTGGCCTTAATGCTGGGCCCTTGTCTCCCTGCACAGCTCACCTCCTGAACGTTGCAATCCCACGACCTCCAGCTCACAAAGCGGTCCCACCACAACGCCCCTCTTCCCATAACCGAGGCAAACGCAGAGATTTATGGGGTTGTGTTTTTCCCTTTGCTATGACGATGCTCTGCCAGGGCTCAGCGCTTCGGTGCCGCTCACCCCAAGAAGCCCCTCTGCCCGCTCCCTGCAGCTCATCTCCTGGGGACACGCGGGCTCCTTTCACCGAAGAACTGAGGGTTTGCTGCCCACCGCTGCCTCGCACAGCGCAACGAACGCACCGGGGCAGGGGATCACCGCGTTCAGCCCTGCCCAACGCTCCGGGGGCTCCTCGCCGCGCCCGCAGCCCCCCAGCACCCGCTTCGTGTCCCGTGACCCCACGCAGCCCCCAAGCCCCATAACCCCCAACGGCCGCACTCACTCGGCATAGCCCGAACCCCAAGGTAGCGGCCGCTCCGGCCCGGTGCCCCGCACGGTCCTGACGTCCCTCGGATTCTCCTCTTCGTCTCGGAGGAACTTGGGCCGGCGGTACTGCGGCGGGGCGGGCTGGGGGGAGCGCGGTGCCGATTCCTGAGCACCTCCGGGCCGTTCCGTGGGGCCGCCCCGACGCAGCCGCCGCAACCACTCGACGGACATGGAATCCCGCGGGCTCCCCCCGCACGGACCGGGCGCGGCTCGAGGTCCGGCTCCTCCCGGGGGCGGTGCGGGATGCGGCTCCGCCCGGTGCCGGCTCCGGAAGCGTCGGTGCGAGCGGCGGAGCCGTTTCCTGCCCGGGACGCGGCGGAGCGGAGCGGAGGGGAGCCATGACGCACCAGACCGGCATCCACGGTAAGCGTGGGCCGGGCCGAACCGCCGGGTCACGCCGCTCGTTCCCCGTCGCGGCTCTCGGATGCGCAGGGTGGGCACCGCGGGTGGCGGTCGGGGGCAGCGCGGCCGATCCGAGCGCGGTGCTGCGGGGCTTCGCGCATCCTTTGTCTCCGCGCGATGCCCGAACGCGGCTCGGCACCGCTAAGGTGTCTTCTACCGCGGCTGCTCCGTTATGGAGTGGGGTCTGCGCAGCCGGAGGCCCTTGCCCTGCCATCCAGCAGCGGGCGGAGCGGCACAGCCCCGCCGTGAGCCCAAAATCCCAGCGGGGAGAAGGGTGCGAGCGGCACGGTGCGAGCCCACCGCTGTGCGTGCTGCCGGCCGCCTCCCGCCGCAGGGCTGCGTTTTAAGCAGAAAGAACGCCAGCAGTGCTGTCTCTGGAATTTCCGTGTTGGAAGAAGGCCGGTTTAGGGGGAAGGATATGTGGGGGGATCCCCGGAGGCGGCCCCGAGGTTTCGGGGGGTGACAGCGTGCGTCTCCGTGGCGTTTCCCCCCGCTCCCACCTGACACCTCCCTGGGCAGCGTTAAGCAGGACCTGAGGCACTGCATAATTGATGGAACCGAATTGATATGCGAGCAGAGGTGGCAAAGATGCCGGCCCTGGGCTATGCTGGGCGGGCTGTGCCAGCTTGCTGTGCCTTCCTCGTGGCCAATGCCTCTCTGGGAGCATGGCGAATTTAGGGTGAATTTATGGCCACTGTTCCTTTGCAGCACACTCTGGTGACGTTCCCTTTGCTCGAGGACAGCCAGGAGCATCATTCCCGTTGGGTGCTCACAGGATGCAGTTTGATGCTCAGATGCTGCTCCTGCTTGGCCTGGCAGCGCTGCTGGCCGTCGGCCCTTGCGTTCTCATTCATTGCCTCTAAGCCCTAGGCTGCTACATTAAAGCTCAGGACCTCTTTGTGCTTTCCTCTGGTTGCAACAACAACAAAACCAGGACCAAAGCAGTGGGCACAGCACTCTGAGCTCTCGGCGCAGGCAGGATGCACTGCCCTGGTAGGTTTTGCAGTGTCCTGGTGCTTGAAACAGAGGTGGAAGAGAGGCACTGGCATTGCACCGCTGCTCTTGCAGTTCACTGACCTGTGCCAGCCCCAGCAAAGCGATCTCATTCCCTTCCCAAACTGCTTGGAAACTGCTGGGTGGGTGCATCAGGGGGTCCTTCATTCTCCCCCGCCCTGGCACAGTGGTCACCATCATTCCTTCCCCCATCAGCGAGCTGATTCACTCTCTCTCAGATGAGCACAGCAATGCTGCTGCTGCTTCCTCCCCCTCTGGGAGTGCCTGAGCTGTTTGCCAAGCAGGAGGGATTTTCCATGTCTTCCATCTTCATGTGTTGTGGGTAAGCCACCCAGCCTCATCTGTGAGCCTGGCTCGTGGTGACAGCTTGGAAGGGAGAATTTGATATAAGCAGTGAAGGGAAGGCTGGGTGTGAGTGCCTCAGAAAGTCGGGTGACCTCCTTTCCCTGCACAGCAGGAAGCAGGCGTGTGCTGGGCAGGGGGGGAGGAGCATCATTCTGTGTGAGCTGACTTTGGGAGAGAAGATGAAGGGTCCCAGGGAGAGGGAGGTGATGGTGGATGGCATTCGTGTGGATGGCAGAAATGTTGGGGTGAAAACGTGTCTTGAAGGGTTTTTTCCATCTAGAAAGTGGCTTGTGTGAGCAAGAATGAAGTGGGAGGTGAAGAAGGAGCAGAAAGTGGGGGGATAGCAGTGTTGTGGCTGCTGAGCTGCTCCTTGCCCATCCCCGTGGGAGCAGCTGGCTCTGCTCCCAGGCTGACTCTTCGATGAGAAGGAAGCTCCAGAAGCAAACTGTCCCTATCCAGCACTTGTCCCAAAGAGCGGTCGGGCACTGGCACAGCTGCATGGGGAGCTGGGGGAGTCAGCGTCCATGGAGGAATCCCAAAACGGTGGGGATGTGGCACTGAGGGCCGTGGGCAGGTGGGGGGTGGACGGTGGGACCTGGGGATCTTAGAGGTCTTTGCCAACCATAATGATTCTGTGATTCCTTGGCTGTAGGTGCGCTCTGCCAACACAGAGGAATGGCGGTGATGGGGTTTCTGCTGAGATAAGAGAAGGGAAACAAAAACCTCCCTGCTCATGGGGCCTGTGCAGTGAGCTGCTGCAGGGCTGCCTTTGAGGAGCTGATCCCCATCTGCGGGTAACGACTGCTTCTTCCGGGCTGGGCACCAATGCTCTGGTTCCTGGTTTTGCTTTGCAGCAAAGAGCAGAAATGCCCTGGGCATATGCAAAACACAAAGCAAACACCCCCATGACTCAGAATGCAGAGGCAGGCTCTAACCCCTGCAGAAGTTGCGCTTGAGCTGTAATTTTGAGGATGTGCAAATAATAAAAGCCTCTTAAAGTAGTGGGGAAGAGGAAGTCCCTTGGAAAGTGCATGTCAAGATCCTCTAAATGCAATGAGACCACTGCTGGTCTGATACCCAGAGTGAGAGCGATTCTGATGAGGATCTGGGAGGTGCCAGAGTGGGGGGAAGGTGGCTTCCAGGTAGGCATATGGAGGCGAATGGCTCATGGGATGAGCAGCTGGAGATACCCAGGCAGGATATGCAGTGTGGCCAAGATTCAGTGAAATCCTTCTGCAGAATAGAACCCAGCATCAAAAGGTTGAGGGAACTGGGTTTATTTAGCTTGGAGAAGAGAAGGCTCCGGGGAGACCTCATTGTGGCCTTCCAATATTTGGAGGGAGTGTATAAACAGGAGGGGAAACGGCTGTTTGCGAGGGTGGATGGTGATAGGACAAGGAGCTATCACTAAATAGGACTCAGTTTTAAACTGAGACAGGGAGGTTTAGGTTGGATATCAGGAGGAAGTTTTTCACCCAGAGGGCGGTGAGGCACTGGAACAGGTTGCCAAGGAGGCTGTGGATGCCCCATCCCTGCAGGCATTCAAGGCCAGGCTGGATGTGGCTCTGGGCAGCCTGGGCTGCTGGTTGGTGACCTGCACACAGCAGGGGGTTGGAACTGGATGAGCACTGTGCTCCTTTTTGACACAGGCCATTCTGTGATCGTGGAGAACTGGAAGATGCTTTGGCTGTGTCCTCTCTTGCTCAGTTGTTCCTTTTTCCCTTCCATTCTATTTTCTCATGCAGTCTGTAGCTTTTTCACCAGAGAAAAGGCTGCCTGCAAGGCCGTGGTGAGAAATGCAATCTTCTCAGTGCCCAAAGCAGCCAGCCAAGCTGCAGGAGGGATTGGCAGTGTGCAGTTGCCTCAGCTTGAGGATAGTGGCCAGAGGATGAAAGATTGATGGCTGAGGGTTCAGGTTTCGTGCCGGGAGGCCGAGGGGATGCGGCACGCCGAGAGAGGCATCTGTTTCAGGGGACATGTATTATTGATGGGAGCTGTCAGCAGGCTGGGGATGAGTGGGAAGGCCCAGCAGGTGAGGGCTGCTCTCCCTCTCTGGACGCAGCCCCAGCTCCCTCAGTCTCGCATGGCCTGTGCCATTCTCCTTGCACGACACCAATCCTGAGGCTGTGTCAGCACCATGTAACCTTGCTGCAAGCTGTGCTCCTGCTCCTGCCTTCACAACTGACTTTGCAATGCCGTGAAGCCACTAACCAGCATAGGCTTGCCCCCAGTGTGACCCTCTCTCTCTGCAGAGTTGCTGGCAATGCACGCTGCTCTCTCCCTCTGTGGTGTTTTGCTTCCTAGTGAATTTCATCCTATTTCTTTTTTTTTCTTTTTCTTTTTCCAGCCTGTTCCTCCAACCTGCTGAGAGAACAGGGAGCTCTCCTTGTCCTCCAGCACGCACTTTGCCTCTCCTCTATTCCTGACTGCAGGATGCGTTGGTGCGGTGGCCAGATCTGACCGTGGAGATGTGGACTTAAAGCTGGACCCACATCGGGTCTGGGGACCTCCCGCTGTGGGCACCGACCCACCAAAATGCACCTGAGCTGCCTTCCCTTGGCTCTGCCACTTTGCCTCGGCTGCCACCTACCTCCAGCAACCACAGTGTAGCATGGTGCCCTGCTGCCTCCAGGACCTGCCAGCACTGAGGACTTTCCTTGAGCTCTGGGCCCTCCCTCTGCAGCTCCCACTGCCGTGCAGCTGCTCTGGGTTTTTGTTCCATGCAGGGCCCTCAGCCTCGGGATCACATCCTGGGGACACCCCTGTGTCACCCCATGCCTCGGTGCTGCTCCCTCCTCCATCCCTCTGCTTTTCCTTTGGAACAGGCTGGGGGCTCTCTGTTAATATTTCAGGCACGCAGACTGTCTCGTCAGGTCTGCTATGCCAATTAAGCAGTAATCATGCTGTAATGAAGCAGTTGCTGAGCTCATGCTGAAAGCCTTCACGGCTAGCATGTTCCTCTCCCTTGGCTCTGTGCTGGAGGAAGCAGAAAGGAATGGCACAGACACATCAGTGATTATTATTACTATTATTTTTAATTTTTGGTGTTTTTTTCCAAAATATTTTAGCTTGAAGCTAGGAATATCCAAGCTGTTATCCCCCTCCCTCCTGTTTGGGCAGCACGATGGCAAAGCGCAACGCTCATCAGGACCCTTTGGCTCTTGTGTTTAGGTTTCCTAGGTGTACAAACATCTCTTTTTCTCCTCCTCTTCCGCCCTGGGAGAAACCTCTCGTATCTTCAGCAACCACAGCAGCTGCTTGGAGGAAGCAGCCTGTCAGCAGGGGAAGGGCTAAAAATACCCGGCAGCAGGCTGAGTGCTGCTGGAAAGCTGTGTGCCTCCATGCTGCCGGGGGCCATGGGATGGGTTTGGGAGGATGGTCCTACTCCCATGTCGTGCTCGGGTTTGGCTCTGAGCCTGAGGGCTGCTTCTCATCTGTGCCTTTTCTCTCTGCAGAAGATGCCCCAGGCTGGTGGGCCCTGGGCAGCTTGATCTGGTGGGGGGGCAAGCAGCCCATGGCAGGGCTTGAGGCTGAGGGGCTTCACAGTCCCTTCCAGCCCTGAGCTATGCTCTGATTGAGAAGGCATCAGGGAAAGAGAGAACTTCTAGACCTTTGCTCAGGACAGCTCTTGAGATGGTGAAACACATGCAGCTCAGATTTATCACATGGGAGGAAGGAACCGGTCTGCCCAGCTGCTCTACTGGTGACCCCTCAAGCAGCAGTTCCCTGTTGTGTTTGCACTTTGGGGCTGCTGCAGGGAGCAGTGGGTTGCTTATCTTTGCAGCACTTGTTTCTGTATTTCTAATAAGTGCTGGAATGCTCTGCAGCTTTAAAGTCTCAGGATGGGATCTTCCAGGCGGGATGCCCTGCACTAAGCACCCTGCCTTGGTTCTTCTTTCTTGCAGAGCAAGGCTGGAGCAGAACACATGCAGCAGCATGGAAGGGTCTGTCGTAGGGTGTGCACTTATGTGCTGGGTGACTCTTACCTGCTGTGACCCTGCAGATCCCCATTGGCTGCATGGCAGCATCCATTGGGCTCGCTGTTGAGCTGTCATGTGGGTATCTGCCTGCAGCCGTAGCTGATGGCCTGCTGTTCTTTCCCATCCAGAGGGCTCAGTGTCACGCCTGTGTCTCCACTTTGGGCTCAGTGACCTGCAGCACTGGTGCTCAGCAGCATCCCCACCTTTCCTAACATCTCCCAGCCACCCTGCACGCAAACCTGACTGCGCTGCAAAGTTAATAAACTTGTCACTTGAGCTCTGCCTGCAACCAGTCAAGCCATCAGCTAAATTTGGGTGATTATGTTCACCCAGGCCAAGTATCAGGTTATCTGGATCACATGTGCTCCCAGCTGCTATTTAACTCTGAAGCCTCTGGGAGACGCAGCACTTTACTACCCCCGAGGAGGCCAGCTGTTGGGATTTCATATTATTTTTATTGTAACATTTTGGCACCGGTTATTCTTTCTCTTTTTTTTCTGGACTGTTTTTAATTAATATCCTGCCAAATCACTTATCCCCACGGCCCGTCAGTGAGCAGCACCTGCTTTGGCCCTTCGATCTGATCACAATGTTTCTGGTTCTTTCAGCCACCACGGAATTAAGGGACTTTTTTGCCAAAGCCCGAAATGGTTCAGTTCGGCTCATCAAGGTGATCATCGAGGAAGGTAAGCTCCATTTTTAAGTGCTTTGATTTATGCTATGTCAGCTCAGTTCTCCTCTTTTCCTCTCTTTCCTCTTTGCTGGCCAAATACGCTGAAAAATAGAGCTTGCATTTCTGGAGATGTTGTACAAATTCCAAGCGGGGCTTCTTGACACGTGGAGCCAAGAGCAGAGTGCTGTGGGTCCATGTGAAAACCAAGCCCAAAATTCAGGTGAGCTGCTGAGCAACACTTGGCAACAACAGCCTCACAGCCTCTGCTGGGGCCGCTCTGGGATACGCAATGACTTTGCATCCTGCTGACTTCAGACCGGTTCTCCAGTGCCCCCAGTCCCAGGTCCTGCTCCTTCCTGCTGCTATGGCACAGGGGGCTGCCTGTTGCCCTGCTATGTTTGGCCACCAAAAGGTGCCTTTGGGCCTCAGTTTTTATCTAATAAGCAAGTGGAGCAAAGCAGTGATTGAGCATCCCAGCAGGAACCTCTGAGGTGTAGGTTTTCCATCTGCTCGGCTTGGTACAATTGCATATGAATGACTTGTTTTTCACGGAGCAGTGTGGCACCGTCCTACAGCTGGGACTGCAGTGACTTCAGCCACCCTGGAGCTCAGCAGCCAACAACCATTTTTGTTCCCTGGTCATCTTTAGCCTTTAAAAAGCTCGTCCTTCTGTTAGGGATGAGTCAGATAAGCCCAGGCTGCAGTGTGGCTGTGAGGGCTGCTGGCTCTAGATGCTGCTCCGTAGCAGCAATGGAGACATGTTACTGTCAGTAGAAATCACATTCCCTTGCTTGGCAGTGCTTTGTGCTTTGGATTCTGCCCTGCCACCATGCTGTCACCTCCATGGTCTGGGCTGTGGGAACCCCAGCCATGGTGCAGTTTCTGGCTTTGCTGCCGGAGCTAGGGAGGAAAATTTGCCCTAAAGAAATTGAATTGAACTGCAGAGACTCTGTGGGAGGAAGCAGAGCAAGCTGAAGAGCAAACAAAGGCTGAAAAGGGTGATGCTGGAGGTGGTCCTATAGAGAGTGCTGATGCTGGTGTTGCATTTCTGGAACAGGCAGTTCTTCAGCCTAGGGAACATCTGGATGCTGCAGGCTGCTGAGGGCACTGCTGTGGGCTGGCTTGTGCTGCTTCACCTGCAATGAATTACCTGGCATTGGTTGCCCTGTGCATGGGGTGCTGGGACATGTAGCAGGTGGGAAGGCCTTGGGGCTGCCTGGGTGTTTGGCCAGGTGAAATCTGTTGGGCTCTCTTAGATTTTGGAGCTTTCCAAAAAGCCGAATCCTTCTGCCTTCCTGCTTTGTACTGTTTAAGTCTACATTGAGGTTTTTATGCTGCTTCTTCCTTTCTTTCTCCAAGCAGGTGGTTTTCTTGGAGAGAAAGTATTTTCAGCTCTGCTTTTCTGAAAGCACAGGTTGGGGATGGTGTCTGTCTGGAGCAGGACTGACAGAGCAGCTCTAGGCGAGCTGCTAGTAGTTCTTCAGCTTTTTGAAGCCTCTTTTCTTCCCTGCAACTCGTGTGGAGGAACATGATCTAAAAGCAGCTTTGGGATGTAGGGTGTCCCACACTCCAGGAGCAGAGCCACAGCGAGTGCAAAACCTCACTGCTGCACTTCAGCAACACAGAAAACTTCTGTCCTTGCTTCCTGAGAACTCTTTGAAGAGGCTTTGGAGAATGGCAAACCTTTCATTTCTCTCTCTGATATTTTTCTTTGTGTTCATACCATGCCTACACTGGCACTTAAATCCCAGCCCCACACTGCCCAGCTTGCTGCTTGCTGCTTCCAGCCCCATTGATGCTTGCGTAGCAGGGGAAAAAATACCCTCTGGACACTTGAGATGCCACCACATGTGTGAACTGCATAAATCCTTTCCAGAAGCCAGGGCTCTCTGGCAGCATGGCCTGCTGCAGGGGGACACAGCACAGACCCCTGCCTGCTTATCCCTCAAGCAAGTGTTTTTGCATCTCTGAGGTTACAGGGAGTCTGATAAGAGCAGCTGAGCCCTGCCTTTGCATAACCTTCACTTTTCTCTCTTCTCCTTCCAGAACAGCTCGTTTTGGGAGCGCACAAGGAGCTGGCCCGGCGCTGGGACATGGACTATGATGCCTTTGTGCTACCCTTGCTGGATGAGCAGCAGCCATGCTATGTGCTGTACCGCCTGGACAGCCAGAACGCCCAGGGCTACGAGTGGCTCTTCATCTCCTGGTCCCCTGATAACTCCCCGGTGAGCTCTGCTGTCCTGGAACTTTGTGGCATTTGGGCGGGAGCAAGATGGGCAGGTGTCCAAAAATCTGCCTTCGGTGGCTCCAGGATGTGTAACTGTAGGCCAGCAACGACACCTGCTGGCTCATAGGCTGGTGTTGATGTTCCTGTGGCTTGTGACCTTGGCCTTAGCATAACCCAGGGACTGTGAGCCTTGATGGCAGAGGCTTGGCTTGGTCCTCTGTGTCAGTCAAGGCGGGCTGGGGAGTGCTTGCAAAAGTTCTTTCCTGAGCAGAGTTTTGCAGGAGAACAGTGCAAGAGAAGTCTAAAAGGTGAATGGAAGCAACGTTTTGCTTTGTTGGTGGGGAATTTTCATTGGAAGGATGTGGTCCCTTATGGCGACTCAACAACATCAAACCACCAGGACTGTTCTTTTGCAACATGATTGTTTTCATGATTCCCTGTGAAGCTGCTGTCTGTCTGTGCAATAAACCAGTGAACTGTGGTTTGAGGCCAGAGCTCCTTAAGGCTGCATGTGCCTCCATGCATAGCTGTGGAAATAGAGCTGACAAGTGCCCACACTGTGCTCAGAGCAGTCCCCTGGAGCTAGAGCTGCTGGGGTGAGACACAGGACTGAGGTAAAAACCAGGTGGTTGTTTTCCAGGTACTTACTTTATAGCTTGTAGTGCCAATAGCTACAGAGAGCTTTCTGCTCCCTATGAGAATCTGGAGTCTCTGTATCGGTTTTGATTGATTTGTTTTTGTGTGTATTTGTTTTTGTGTTTCTTTGTGTTTGTGTAACCAGAGCATCCCGTGGTTAAGCAAGCACATGGAGGTGACATTATTCCTTGTTGTGCTGCAGGGTCCTGGGCTGCAAGCTGGCTCCCAGGGATGAGTCTCAAATGACAGCACCAGCTGTGGTTGTAGCTGCACATGGAAGGGGTGGGAGGCTGAGCTTTGGGAAGGCAGAGCTTTGGGTCAGGAGGTGGCAGTGACCACCAGGTGCCAGTGGGATGGAGGTGACAGGTCCCCTGCTTCCTTCCCTGACCATGTCTACTGTATCCCTCCTCACACAGGTCAGGCTGAAGATGCTGTATGCTGCAACCAGAGCAACGGTGAAGAAAGAATTTGGAGGGGGGCATATAAAGGATGAGATGTTTGGAACAGTTAAGGTACGGTCGTGATTCACGTAGGGTTCTGTTCAATCTTTTGAGTTAAAAGCTGAGCTCTGGGAGCCTACCCAAGACTCCAGCTGCTGGCATTCTGCTTCGTGGCTGCAGTCGGGCTGTGGTCTCCTTTTCTTCTGGCTGTTGTGGTCCCAAGCTTTGCTCCTCAACCAGGGGCCGCACTGCTGCATGGCTGGTGGGATGGCCTGGATGGGCAGGGCTCAAATCAAGTGTGGTGTTTGCATGGAGGTGTCCGAGAGCACAGCCCACACTGGTCATTCGTGTCGGCAGGGAGAGAGCCAGAGCTTGGGATCTCAGATCCAGGCTGGGGTCATAGCCCTGTCCTGGCTGCTCTGTGGTGATAATAACTCCCTAACGTTTCCCTTCTCGTCCCTCTGTCTGCAGGAGGATGTGTCCCTCAGTGGGTACCAGAAGCACGTATCGTCCTGCTCTGCGCCCGCCCCGCTGACTGCAGCTGAGCAGGAGCTCCAGCAGATCCGCATCAATGAGGTGGGCATCCCATGGCACCCAGCCCCAGGGAGGTTTGGGGCTCAGCCTTTGGTGCAGAGGTAGCTCACTCTTACAAAGCTCCTTTGTACGTGTGCTTTTTAACCCACTCCTGAACCTGCTGAGGTGGATCAAGCATTTGCATGACCTCGTGGTCAAACTGATGATGAATTTTACAGACTCTTTTCTTCGCTAGGACATGAGCTTGGATATCTTACTTTGCACGCTGTAATTAGCAATTAGCAGGCAGGTGGAGCCTAAAGGCAGGCAGCGGTGTCAAATCTTTAGATATCAGGATGGAACTCAGAGCTGGAGTTGAATTTGAGGGGAAAACAGGAAGGATTCCAGCTCACGTTTTGGCTGTCGCAGTGTACTTCCTCAGGTTCATCTGTGGCTGTGAGGGATGCTGTGCTAAAGGGGAGAGGTCTTAGCCTGAATGTCTGGGGCTTAGTGCTGGAAGGAAGTATGGAAATGGCTGGATGAGGCCAGGCAAGGCTGCAGCACAACACAGGTCCTGCAGCAGCATGAGACACTCGTGCCAACCTCTGTGATGCTGTGGAAACCTTGAGGCTGTGAAGAGGATCCTATGGGGTGAGAGGACTGCCTGGAAGCTGTGTTTGGGAGGAGTGGGATTTCACTGGGACGTCACAGAAACAGCATCCCTCTCTCTTCCTCCTGTGATGGGGTCTGTGGGGCTTAGAGATGGATGTGGAGCCTGGAAGATATTAAGCCAAGCAGTCTGGTCCAGTTAGTGGCAAAGACAGGGCAGGAGCAGGTCTGGGGGCAGTGCCAACCCAGTGCATTAATGTTGTTGGTCCTCTCTTCCTCTGCTTTTTCTTGCAAACTGGGAAGAGACCAACCAGCACCTGGCCTTTTTTCACAACAAGGGGCTAGAACCACATTTCTCAGCACCGCCTGGACCTTCCTTTCCCTGTAGACCTGGAGAACTATGGAGTTCATTGCTTGTCCTGCTCATCATTGGAGCATGTGGTGACAACCACTGGGTGGTGCTGGACAGACGTGATGAATGGATCTGGGGCATGCCACCAAATGTGATCTTCTAGTAAGGCATGGTATAGTCATCCCAGCTCCCACCTAGAGGGTATGGGCAGGATTTAGGCTGGAGAATGCAAGATGACACCTTGGAGAAGAGAGAGCTAACAGGGCTTTGAGACAAGGCTCTGGGCTGTGCTGCTTATCTTGCAGTAACTTTGGGCTTTTATGGTCCCACCCAGGCCATCGCCCTGGCTGGTTGGTGTTGTAGGATTAAGTGCTTTTTCTTGGCTGTGTCTTGCAGGGTGAAGTGGCCCAGGTAAGTGTTGCTTGTTTTGCTTGTGTTCCCAATGATCCGCTGCTCCCCACCCTCCTGACTGCAAGAGGTGGCTCCTGAGCAAGTGAGCTGCCCAGGTTTGGTGTGGTTGGGTTTCATTTTAAAGGTACGCTGTCCCCTGTGTAAGCCTGAACCACAGCAAGTGGACCTTCTCATCTAGAAACAGAGAAAAATCACTATTTTGCCTCTGAATTTAGTGTGAAGCACCTGGATGCTTGGGCTGCTGCAGGGTCTCTGTCGGTGCTGACCTTATAGCAAGTTTCTGGAGCAGTGCAAAGCAGAGAGGGGCTATGGGAGCAGCTTTCAGCACCCTGCACAGCAGTGCCTCCGTCCTTGCCTGGACCTGCACATTGCTGCAGAAGCAGAGTGACAGTAACCTGTCTCCTTGCAGAACACCAGGTGTGCTGCAGCACAAGGGAAGGAGGCTGCAGCAGTTGTGTTTGCAGTGCTGGTGCCGTGCTGCTGCCTTGTGTTGGCTGTGCAAAATGCTGGCGCTTCCCCCTCTGTCCCCATCACCACAGCTGGGGTCAGAGAGCTCCGTGTCCTTTGTAGCTGAAGCATTGGCAGTGTCTTCACGTGGGCTGACAAAACAGGCACTGAGGAGTGGCTGTGACCTGCTGGGCGGCCCTGCAGCGAGCTCAGACCTCAGCAGCTCTGCTCTGTGGCTGTCTCTTTGTTGGGACTCTGAGCTCTGTGAATCCACCAGGATTTTGGAAGTGACACAAGGGACACTGTTTCTTTAAAAGCTACCAAGTGCCTTGCAGTGCATGTCGTTGCCACTTGCCTGGGATTGCTGCTGGTGGTGCATCTCTTAGCGCGGTCTCTAACCTTTGTGAGTTTGGCATTTCTCACTGTGGAAGTGCTGGTATTCCTGGGTTGGCAGCAGGCACCAGTGGGAAGCAAAAGGCAGCAGCAAAGCAGGAGGGTGGATGTGGCAGCTGTGCAGCCCTGCCTCCTGCACTGGGACAGGGAGCCAGGCTGCACCTGGCATGGAAAGAGGGGATGTGCTGAGCCAACCTCCTGGAGGCTGGGGGAAGTGTGAGGGAGTTCTCCAAAGCTGAAGGCAGAAAATGCATCACTGCTGTGCTGGAGGCTGGGGGTGACCTATGGGCTCAAACAGTGGTTTTTAAATGGAGATTGAGCTGTCATAACAAGTCCCTGCCCAAATGGAGAGTCTTTCTGGAAGCGCTTGGAGGCATTGCAGGCTCAGAAATGCAGAGGGAAACCAGGTTTATCTGTGGGGTGGAGTGGGAAATAAAGGCAAATTAGGAGCTCTGGTCAGCACCCAGCTCTCAGTAGGGAGGGGAAAGCAGAAAAAAGTAAAGAAAAGGAGGTAAAACACCCTGCAGCCCAAGTGCTGCCAGTGGGCAGGCCCAAGCCAAGAGCTGTGGGATGCAGCTTGGCCATCCCTGTGCAGAGCCTGGAAATGAGCCCAGTGCTTGTGGGTTTAAAAAGAGAAGGAGTAGGAAATGCCACGGGGAGGTGTGTTGCAGAGGGTAGCAGTGCTGGGATGACCTCTGATCTAGGGAGCTTTCCGACTCCATCCTGCTTCGTCCAGCACTGAAAGCTCTTTGCTCATTGCCCCAGCATCATTTAGTTCTCAGGGCATTTGCAGGGGAGAAACATGGGGGTCTGGTGTTGGCAGTGGTAAATCCCATGTGCCACATCTCTGCAAGGGAGGAGAAGGCAAACCTGAGTGCCCTCAGCATCTGTGTGTGCTTGCCCTGTCTTTGGCTGTGGGAATGCAGAGCTCTTCATCTTCCTATACTCTGAGCTTGGAAAGTAGCTTGGGCACTTTTTCCTCAAACCTTTAGGGGGATCCCTCTTTTAGGGGCTTCCCCTTTGTGGAGGAATTACCCCCAGCCCTGTTGCTGTAACTCCTCCATCCCAACACAGGTTGGGCAGTCAGCAGGAGGCAGAGCAGGGCTGGTAATGCCCCTGAAGCTCCTGGGCTGTCCCAACAGCCAGTCCCACAGCTCAGGGCTGTCCCTCCCCAGCACTGACATTTCCCATGTCATTTTGTCACTCTCCATGCCTGCACGCAGGACCTGCTTTCCCTGGCCTCCAGCAGAGACATGGTAGGCCTGCACCCTCCCAGCATGTTGGTACCACCCCCTCCTTGTTCCTAGACCCATCCATCCCTGTGTGGGTGCCGTTGACAGTGTCTCCTCTCCCACACCCGCAGGATTCCTGCTCACAAGACTCAAGCACGGAGATGGTAGGCTGCTCCACAGGCCGTGTGCTGCATGCTCTGCTCCCTTTGCCCCCTGCTCTGCCCAGGGGAGCTGAGCTCACCCCACGCTGGGCTCCCTAAACAAACCCCCAGGGAGCTGGTGTCTGAGGTCTGTGTTGGACTTGAGACGGGGATTAGATCACTCCTGGGGTTTTTTCTACTTCAAGTTGGCGATGGATGGGCTGCTCGTGTGTGTGATTTTCCTCCATTATCATTATAGGGGGGAAAAAAAAGGGGGGGTGGGGAGGAGGGGCTTTTCTCATCTTTGCACCAAACCTCCTAAACCGATCCCAAACGAAAGCAGCACTTGGTGTGCAGTGTGCGGGTTGGCGCTGCTGTGTGCCTGGGGCAGGTGGGGCGGGCTCAGGGGCAGCTCCTCCGCCATCGGCGTGACTCCGTCTCCCTGTATTCTATGGCAGATGGTGGGGGGCTGTTGCTGCTGCCCATCGCTGGTAGAGTACCCCAGCCCCGAGGAGGTATGCTGTGCCGCTGCGCGTCCCGCTCTCCTTTCCCTCCTGCAGGGTCACAGCACAGCCCTGTTCGGGGTGGAGGTGCCTGATGTGACGCGGCCTGTCCGTCTTTCTTCCTCTTTGCAGTGGCTTTGGTCTCGTGGAGAGGGGATTTGTTTGCTCCGCCGCGCAAAAGCCTCTGCTTTTGAGGGTTTGGTGTGAAAATGGGGGCTTGTCTGAGCTGTGGGTCTCTGAATCCTCGCTCCAGTGTGGGCAGTGGGCACCTGTAAGTGACCCGAGACCCCCGCAGCTGGATGCTGGGATTTCAAGGCTCCCTGCACATTGCAGTGTGGGAGGATGAGGTGAAGAGGCAGCAGTGTTGGTTGCAGCACCCTGCCCTGTCCCCAGCTAGGAGTTCTCTGCAAACAGCCTTATGCTGAGAATTGTAGAATCACAGCATGATTGGGTTGGAAGAGGCCTCACAGACCCCAGCCCCATCCCTGCCATGGGCTGGCTGCACCTCAGCTCAGGCTGCCCAGGGCCTCTCCATGGCCTGGGGCACCTCCAGGGATGGCACCCACAGCTCTGGGCAGCCTGTGCCAATGCAGCCCCATGAGAAGCATCAGTGGTGCCGAGGTTGTTTTCTGGGAGCAGTTGTGCAAAGGAGGAGAGCAGGTCTGGGGGATGCACGAGCAGGGACAGATTCTGCTGGGTGATTCCTGTTTGCTGGGAAATACCACAGTCCTGAGGCTGGTGACATCTAAATGTTAATGCTGTGTTTCCAGTGAGCTGTGTCTCAAGCATTGCCTCTGCCTGAGAGCTTTGCCAGCACTCCTGCACTCACCCATCAAACCCACAAGTTCCTGGGTTAGGGCTGGACAGGCCTCCTGACCCCAGGAGGGCATGGATGCCCCCAGCTGCTGCTCTGTGCCTTGGCAAATGCAAGCATGAGGATGCACATTCACCCTGGGGCAGCTGGAGATGGTACCTGGTCCATGACCACCCTGACACTCAGTGCTATTCCTGTTTGCAGGTGAAGACAGAGATCAGTGTGGAGAGCAAGCACCAGACCCTGCAGGGCCTGGCTTTTCCCCTGCAGCTGGATGCGCAGCAGGCTATCCAGGCACTGAAGCAGAAGAAAATCAATTACATCCAGCTGGTGAGTCCCTGGCACGGCTCCCCCTGCACCTCCAAGCACCCCTTGCTGTGGCACTTTGGTCTCTTTTGTCCCTTTCTTCAACCAGAAGCTGGATCTGGAGCGGGAGACCATTGACCTGGTGCACACGAGCCCCACAGAGATCACTGACCTGCCCAAGAGGATCCCACAGGACTCTGCTCGCTACCACTTCTTCCTGTACAAGCACTCACATGAGGGAGACTACCTGGAGTCTGTTGGTGAGCAGTGATTGCTCAGAGCCCCTGGCTCTGCCCTTAGCAATGGTGCGGGTGGTGTGTGGGATCTGAGCAGATTCTCCCTTGCCGTGCTCCCCCCAAGGGAATGGCAGCAAGCCTTGGGGCCCAGAGAATGTGAGGAATGCACAATTCGGGTCTTGAGTATTGAGAACTGGGGAGGATTTATGCAAGGGGCTGCTGAGTTGCAGAGTATGGCAGTGGAAGAGCTTGGCCTCTGCACCTGAGCTTGTCAGGGTTCTTCAGCCTGGAAAAGCCCCAGAAAGCCGGGATCTGGCTGCTCCCCATCATTGCACATGGGCAGCACTGAGCCTCGGTCCTCTCTCGCAGTGTTCATCTACTCCATGCCTGGGTACAAATGCAGCATCAAGGAGCGCATGCTCTACTCCAGCTGCAAGAGCCGGTTGCTCGACACTGTGGAGCAGGAGTTCTGTCTGGAGATAGCAAAGAAGGTGAGTCCCTACCTCCTGGATGCGACATGGTTTTGACTGGGGTGAGGTCTCAGAATTCAGGGAAGCCTCAGGCATCACTGAGGTTGTTTAACAGCGGCCTGGAGAAAAGGGGAATGGTCTTGCACTGACATCTCTGCCCCAGCCCTAATGGGTATCCCCAGCATCTGTGGTTTTGGTGAAGACTTCTATCCGGTAGGAGGGGATGGATTTCCCTGGTTGAGAGCTTTGGGATTGAAATGACCTAAACCTTTGAGTCATTTGACAACAGTACTTCACACGGTGGGCATACGGAGGCCCCTTTGCTTCTACCCTGTGGGTCCTTGGTCCAAACCTATCAATGTCCTTGGGGAGGAGTGCGGGGTTACCCTGAGAGAGCAGCATTTTGGGGTGTGAAGGCAGTCAGGCATTGAGATGGGCTGCCCCAGCCCTGGAGGAATTTACGAGATGTGTGGATGTGACAGTAAGGGACGTGGCTTGGTGATGGCACTCTGTAGCTCATATGAGCTCATTAGAGCTCATTGAAGGGCTGACTGCCACTGGGGAAGGATCTTTGGCTGGAGATCCTTCTCTTATGGAGTTTTCCCTGCAAGCCCAGATCTTTGGAGACAGGTGAGTACCTTTTCTTTCTCATTGTAACACCATTTCCATTTGTGTAGTCCCGTTGTCCTTACACCTCCTGTATCTCCATTCCATGGTGTTGACCTTTCTGATGGTAACAAACCCCGTTTCCCTGTGCAGATTGAGATCGACGACGGCGCTGAGCTGACGGCAGAGTTCCTGTATGATGAGGTGCACCCGAAACAGCACGCCTTCAAGCAGGCCTTTGCCAAGCCCAAAGGGCCCGTGGGGAAACGGGGACAGAAGAGGCTGATCAAAGGGCCAGGAGAGAACGGCGAGGACAGTTAGATCTGGATGAGGCAGGGACGGGTGGTGAATGGACAGCATCCCCCTGACTTTTCCCAGCTTCCACCTCTCCGTTCCAGGCCTTTCTGCTGACCTGGGGATCTTTCCCTCCATCTCAGCCTTCCCCTTCCCTTCTTTTCCCTTTTTTCATTCCTTTTTGAGCATCAGGACGGGTTGTTTCTCCCGACGCAGAGCAGTGGGATGGGGACAGGCTGTAGGTGTTTGTGTTTCATTCTCCATGTCCTTGTGCAAGCCTGGGGACAACTGGGGAAGCACGGGAGCAGCAGGACCATGTCTCCAGCCTACTCTGGTCCCAGCTGGGACCAGAGCTTTCCCTTGGTTTACCTGTGCTGAGGGAAGGATTCGCTCACCTACGAGCTGCTCTATGCAAAGGAAGGAGATGATACCTGGTGTTGGTTTAATAGCAGATAACATTAAATGCTTCTTTCCCTCCTCCCTCTTCCTACAGCCTTTACTCAGCAGAGCCCCGCTGTGTAAGTCCTATGGCTGCCCGAGCCTTTCCAGGCTGCAGCCCAGACCCATCCCTGCAGGGGGGGACTTTGCTGTTGCAGCCCCAGCACCTGGCAGGAGCATTTGTCCCTGGTGAGAGACAACCCCTTGTTCTATCTGGATTTGCCTTTTGGGGAGTACAGATGCTTCTCCTTTCCCCTCTCACTCCCAGCTGTCATACAGAGCATCCTCGTGGCCAGGGCCCTGGACATGCAAGCAACAGCTGCCCAGTACCTGACACTGCTGGTGGCTTCCCATACAGCCACTCCGTGCTGCTCCCACCCAGCTCTAGGTCCCTGTGCCTCCTGGGCTGGTCTGGCTGTGAAGCCCCTTGGGTCTGAGCTGGGGCACAGGGATGTGGCTCAATGGACTTTGAAGCCAGTTTCTTATGGGTATGGGTAGAGGAAGGGCAGCACCCAGCTCTGTTTTTGTCCAGTCTTGGTGCAGGGCAAGGTCTGAGCTCCACCTGGCTTTGGAGAAAGGTTACTGTGCCTGTTGGCAATGTTTGGATCCTCTTTCTGATCCACCAAGGACAGCCTTTTCCCTCGGAGGGAGGCTTTACAGCCCTGCGGCTGGGTTTGGGACAGGAGCCAGAACCCATTCCATGCCACCCCTGTCCCCTGTGCTGTCTGTCGTCGTACTTCATCCTTTCCCATTTCCTTCATCCCCATCCCTGTGCTTTTATCAGCATAGGGATGCCTCAGTGTTTGTAGTGTGATTGCAAGGCGGGGGCTGGCCTGACTGCTCCATTAATTCTGGATGTTGTCATCTGTGGGATGAACCTCTGGTCCAGGCTGGCACCCAGGTGAGGAAGGGGGTGGCTGGACATTATTGCCCTTTGCAAGGAAAAGGGTGTGGGAAATGGGATAAAGCCCCGAGCCCCTGCGAAAGGCCACCCAGCTCCCACCCACGTGGGCTGCCCCAAATCCTGGCACAAGGGAGTCTGCCCCCCAGGGAGGGCCAGCCGGGGCTCCAGTGTGCTCACAGCATCGAGGACATCGCTGGTCACCAAGGGCTGTCCCCAGGGCTTGAGTTTGGCATTGTGGATTTGGCTTTTCTTAGAGGATTTGGGGAGGAGAGCACCTTGCTGCTGGCTACCAGCGAGGCCTGCTTCCCCCACACCCCTGGGCAGTGGTAACACCAGGGCTGCTCCCGTGCCCTTCCCCGCTCACCGGTGAATGTGCCGATGTTGCCTTGACCGTGTTGGGGTGCCCCAGTGAGGGGGGTGTGAAGCCTGGGGGGAGCGGAGCACACTGTACTGAATGCTGTATTTTCTAAAGAATAAAGTATTTTTAAAGCAGTCTGCTGCTCTCTGGGGTCTTCTGTGGTGCCGGGGTTTGGGTATTTACCGGGAGTATCCATGCATCGTGCTCAAGGCTGTGCATCTGCACACGTTGCCAAGGTGTGCTTTTCCTTGCATTCAGGGTGTTTTACTGCACTTGCACTTCCAGGGGTTGTGTAAATAATAGGTTGAGAAACGGGGGATATGCAATTAGGGCTATGCAACACTCAGCTAAATGGATGGGTACTGTTGCCTGGGTGGGTCAACAGGGAAATCTTAGCAGTGCCTTCACACCTCACACCTGCTCACTCCATCAGTGCTTACAGCCCTTTTGTCCCCAGCTTTAAACATCTTTTACCAATTATTTCCCCTTATCATTTTCCAGAAACCAAACTCGTGCTTATGCAACCACCGGCAGTTACACAACCCGCCATTCGAGCTTTGTTTGCTGGGAAACAATCTGTGTTTGTTTTCTCATCCTTTGTCCTTTTTCACTGGGGAAAAACGCCTTCTTTCCATGTGTCATTGGCTTTGTCACTCTCTGCAGCCGTGATGGTTGGCCCTGCCTGCCTCTCACTGCACTCTGGCCCTGCCCTCACCCATTGCTTACCTGTGCAAGCTAAGGGAACGCACCACATCAGATGTGAACAAGTGTGCAGAGGAACTGATCATCACATACTCACCATGCTCCTGGTGTTGCAAACACCTTTGTGGTGCTTGGGATGCTCTTCTAGGAGTGGCTGATGGCTGGCCTGTAAGTTTGGCTCCAGTTACAACCTCAGTGCTGATGAGAAAAGAGCTGCAATGGAGCTGCATGTTCACACAGCCTTAGCCATGCGCTGCTTGTTGCAAGGCAAGGCCACAGGGATGAGGCACCCTATTTTTCTCCCAGAAGCACTGGGAAATTCCTAAGATAAAGGAAAGCTAAGCCTTTTGGAGCAGCAAAGCAACACTTGTGTTCCCCACAGCCAGTGGACAAAGATGATGATGTTGCTGCAGTTTGTGGCTATTTGCAATATTAGAACGGACGCTCGTGGCAACTTCACAGCAGGCCTGCAACCGTAACAGCAGAGGTGCACTGAGAGGAGTGCCCAGAGAAAAGCTGTGCAGGTACTTGTGGAAACAAGCCTGCAGCAGTTACAGGACATGCCTGTGCATGAAGGAAGCAGTGCACTGCTTTGCCCAGGCCTTCCTGCCAGCATTGCCTTCTCAGTGCATACATACACCCACAGAATTACTTCCCCCACTCCTCTATGCATGACAGCTTTGAACAGGCCTGTTACCCCATTTGCCATGCAAATTTTTCAGAGGTTGCAAAAGCAGCAACATTAGACCTGTCCAAGAGCTGAATGATTAAGGACCAGTCACTGACAAGCAGTTTTTCCACTGAAGGTGAGCTCTAAGACTCAGGAATGCAGACTTGGCAGGACTTCGCTAACCATGAGCAACTTTCCATCTCCTACGCAGCCAGGGGTAAGCAGGGCAAGATGCCCACAGTGCACAAGGATGAAGGCATGGGAAAGCAGAGGGGAACAGAGCCAGACTGCTGAGGAACTCTCAGTATCACTAAATCTTCTCTTTCCCTAATAAACCCACGCCTTCTAAAGCAGTAGGAAATCACTGATGCTGTTTTGGCTGACACTCACTGAGAAGACTGTCCTCCAGCTGATAGGTAGTGTAGAGCACTTTTTATTCAATGGGATGCCCTTCTAACCATTGACACTTCTTCTTATGGAGGCCAAATAGAAAAGAAATAAAAAAAATACAAGCAGACAGGGGCTCTAGAAATTTATTTTCAGAGCTTAGTGCTATAGCTATGATTAAAATGCTTATTAAGTAATTTAAAAATGCTACTGATTGGATATGAGAACTAGATAAGAACAGAATTAACAATGTCACTTTCATGCACTGACAGATACTAGTTTGCTCATGCCACTGAAGTAGGATCTTTCCCTCTCACTCATCACTTCAAAGTGTAGAGGTCTTCTGCAGAAGTTGCATTCAGCTGATGAGTGTGGTTTCAGCTCCAGCCCAACATCCTTCCACGTAGCCAGCAGCTTTTCTGTCACAGACAAGGAAATGCACCAAGATCACATCTCAGAACATCAGATACTTCAGCAAAAGAGAACCAACAGAACACTTATCCCAGGAAAGGAAGAGATACAAGAATTGTTTAAGGACATAATTCACCTCTGGAACCACGCAATAGGGCTGCAGTTAAATCTTATCTTGTTAAAAGGCTGTTTGGACAAAGTACAAGCAGCCCCAGCAGGAGTGACTGGGACAGAACTGGATGTAGGAATGCACTGGGAGAGCACAGTATTCTAGGTCAGTCTGTTGGCTTCCACTGCTCGTGCTCACACTAGGTGTACAAGCATAGGACATGACAGCTGCAGCAAGCATTACCCAGCCAATATCACTTCAAATTTAATCGTTTCCTAGTCTTATCTTTAAGGTTGCATAAGCAGCCCAGTCTTCACGTCATACTAAAGCATGAATCCACTCACCAAGAAAATAACTCATCATCTGAGGGCTGTGGTGAGGTGTAGGAGCAATACGTAGCAGCTCTTCTCCACGAGGGACCGTGGGGTAGTTGATTGCTTGGACATAAATACTGTGCTGGCTCATCAGCTTGTCACAGATCTCTGTATTTTTAGCAGCATCTGCAACCTGAAATTCCAAACTTTAAGTTTCAGTATCAACCAGAACACGCGAGGTAGCAAAGTTGTTTGGCTGTTAGACTGACATGTCAAGCCTCCCTTCCACCCACTAGACAGAATATCCATCAGACACAGGAACTCAAAGTTTCCACTCTGAAGCCTTCTGCAGCCTAAGCAGATTCATACCTGAATTCTTTTTACTGGCTCGTTCCTACCATGTGTCTCACCTATACTTTCAGACTGAGTTTCACACACTCAGTTTACTTCACAGCATTCATAGTGGGCTGAAGTCAATTTAATCACAGCCTTTATTCTTCAGACATGAGAGGTAAGCCAGACTCACAGCATAAAAGTTGGACGGAGTTTGAACCTCATGAGTATTTATGAATACTGGGAAATAATCTGATCATAAGCACAGACACCAGGGCCCTCCATTAGAGATCTGAAGTACTCACCCTTATTGGAATGATGTGGCTTGGGCAGTGCACTACAGGAAGCCCTGCATCCATCAGCATCTGCCTCATGAGCTTCACATTGCGTTGGTGCTGGCGCCTCAATACTTGTCCCTCAGCACTCTTCAGAGTTCGGACAGACTCGAGGGCACCAGCCAGGAGCATGGGTGGCAGGGATGTTGTGAAAATGAAGCCAGCAGCATACGAACGGACAGTGTCTATCAGAGCACTTGTACTGGAGATGTATCCTCCCACACAGCCAAAGGCCTTGCCTAAAAAACAAGTCAGAAATTAAGAGTTTAAGTAATCCAAGCTTCTTCCTTCCACCCATCAGAATGGTTGGAAGTGCACAGCAGGCAGCCATTTCAAGCCCTCCCTCTCATCTTGCCTGTAGTCAAGAGATGTTGAAGCTTTGTTTCTAAACCCTGATAACACCTATTTAGCTCCTACACAGCAAGGACAAGTTCCAGACCACATCAAACACTCAGCTTCTGATTTGGGGAAGACCTCAGAAGCACAGCCTTTGGTAGTGACCCAAGGAGATCAACACTAAGTCTCTCAGCAGATTACTTTAAATCTGTTCCAGAGATGCTGGAAATAGCCTACACTCCTGAAGAGCACTGGTGGTTACTCTGTGTGATCAAAGCTTACTTCCCAAATAGGGGGATGCTCTGGTACCCAAGCAGGGCCACACAAAATCTGGGTGTTGAGGGTCACATCCTAATGAAAATGGAACAAAGCTGCAAGAGTTCAAGCCACTGACTCCCCTTCTAAGTTTTATTTATGTTTCAGGTGCTGTTTAAACAACGATCCCATTTGCAGCACTAAACTCACTGCCAAGCTTGCATTCTCCTCAGATAATAGCAGTTGCTTCAGCTCTTGCCAAGTCTTTTTATGTAACCCCCCCCCATCTCAGGTTTCTGGATTAGGAACACTCCATTTCACATAAAAGAACCATGTACAGAGTGCTACCCTGCTAGCTTTCTCACCTGAATTGACTCAGGACTCTTTTTTTTTCCCCCACTATCTTGTTTAAAGCAAGAATGCTAACCTAAAAGATTTAAGACAAAGTAAGTAGCTTAACAAATGCTTTCCAAACTGGGACATACTTAAATCCTTTGGGCTTTTTGAAAAATACTAAACACCTTCCCCTCCCCCCCCAGTAAATCCTTAGCAAGTTCATTCCAATAGACAGATTTTGAGTTAACCCACTTAATTTGGCCGCTCAGAAGCTTTGCTGCCTTAGAATATATAAGCTTCTGTAAAACTGCCAGGCTGTGCATACCGAGAGTTCCAGAGATGATGTCCATCTTGTGCATGACTCCATCTCGGTCCCCTATCCCACCACCTCGAGCTCCATACAGCCCCACAGCATGCACTTCATCCACAAAAGTGATTGCCCCATGCTCGTGGGCCACGTCACACAGCTCTTCCAGAGGGCAGACAGCACCTACAGACCGAAACAGCAAAATGCAGTTCAGGATTCTCTGCACTCAAAACATTACACTTCCAACACATACAGCAATTTGTACTTTCAGACCCAAAAATGCAGATCTCAGGACTGGCTGCACTTAAAGACAGAGCAGCCTATGTCACCTTACCATCCATGGAGTGCACGGTTTCAAATGCAACAATTTTAGGGGTAGCTGGGTCAGACTTCTTCAACAGTTCTCGAAGATGGTTGACATCATTATGGCGAAAGATGTGCTTTGGCACCCTGCTGTTTCGAATCCCCTGGATCATGGAGGCATGGTTTCCAGAATCAGAGTAGATCTCACAGCCTGAGGGAATAACCCAGTTACACATCGAGTACAGAAAGCATCAGCTAATGCTGAGCAGCATTTTATATACTGCTTGAGTGCTTATGGTAAGGGTTGCATGCTCTCGAAGCCATCAGAAGAGCGGA